ATTCCGAATACTTTTATGGCCCCAGTTCCAATGTTATTACAGGAGACATTAACATCGTTCATGACCAGAGCTAAATCATTCCTCAGTAAAGGACCTAAATATCACCCCCTTCAATTATTTATTGGAATGAGTGTCGTAACATCATCCACGACTCTATCCGTACTTACTGCCCGAAATGGATAAGTCGAGAAAAAGGTGACAAAAAATCTATAGATTTTTTTTTAATTCAGTAATGAACATAGTTGATATTCGTATTTAACACTTTAAAGAACATTTGACTCCTAACAACAACCATAATCGCCCTATTTCTCGTATCAAACATAAGCTAAAAGAACTCGCCAAGGAATTTGTTTTTGTCCCGGCTGATAAGCCTGCTAATAATATCACTATTGTTTGACGTACATTTTACATTGAGTTTCTGCAAAAGGAAATCATGAACTCACCAACATTCCAACTGAATCCATTTTCGGAAAATGCACAAAACACCTTACAAATATAGATTTATTTCGTCTTCAAGCCATTGTTCCACTACTAAATTGTCTATTTTACTTACTAGTACACTTGGTACAATCAAAAACCTGGTAATAAATTGTTTAAAAAAGCCTTTGAAATTAGTGGATTTAATTACTTTTGGAGTGTCAAAAATTCGTTGGGAGTACTTGATGAAATGCATGCTTATATACTTTTCTACATTGGCTAGAGGTATAGGGGGAGGGTTGAGATCTCATAATCATGTTTAACCCCGCCGCATTTTTGCGCCTGTCATAAGTCAGGAGCCTCTAGCCTTTGTTAGTCTTGTATTATTTTTAATTTTAGTTTCTTGTGTACAATTTGGAGTTTAGTATGGCGTTCATTATCACTGAACTAGTATATATATTTGTTTAGGGGCCAGTTGAAGGACACCACCGGGTGCGGGAATTTCTCGCTGCATTGAAGACCTGTTAGTGACCTTCTGCTGTTGTCTGTTCTATGGTCGGGTTGTTGTCTCTTTGACACATTCCCCATTTCCATTCTCAATTTTATTATATTGGTGATTTTGAATCTGTTCAAAGTTTTGATTTTTCTGCACCATATACCACTTCGCCTCATAATCTTATCAAGAAACAATTCACACACCTAATTAAATGGGCATTTAAAAAGTCAGAATGCGAATATATATGTTCAAACTCATTTAGGTCATTTTTTAGTAACAACAAACAAAATATCTATGTCAATTGTTCCTTGTCACCATTTTATGTTATTTCACATCCAATCTTTTATGGTAGTATTCTATACAAAGCAAAATAAAATGTCGGCATTCACCTTCAAGGTAACCAAACCTTTAAATAGACTTATACAGAAGGGATATAGTTACGATACTGTTGTCAGGTCATTGAAGATGGCATATTTTAGTATTAGTATTGATTCACTCATAGGGTCTTTGCATCGGAAATAAACACATTCATTCTAAAACCAGTTGTTTGCATGATACGGCTTTTGTTCTTCTCATATATTTTATGATGGTATGATACTTAACCCCTAACAGGAGGGATTGCGCTTGATTTTCTTATAATGAAGACAAAATCTTTCAATCACTTTAATTGAGGTCTGGAGCTGGCATGTCAGTAACTGCTAGTAGTCCTTTGTTAATTTATGCATCATTGTCATTTTGCTTTGTTTCTTTTGTTACCTATTCTGACATCGGACTCAGACTTCTTTTGAACTGTGTGTATTGCTGTGTGTTTGTTTATTTTAAATTGGCTAGAGGTATAGGGGGAGGGTTGAGATCTCACAAAACATGTTTAACCCCGCTGCATTTTTGCGCCTGTCCCAAGTCAGTAGCCTCTGGCCTTTGTTAATCTTGTATGTTTTTTTTTTTTATTTTAGTTCATTTATTTGTTTTGGAGTTTAGTGTGACGTCCATTTTCACTGAACTGGTACACATTTTTGTTAAGGGGCCAGCTGAAACCCGCCTCCGGGTGCGGGACTTTCTCGCTGTGTTGAAGACCCATTGGTGGCCTTCGGCTGTTTTCTGCTTTGGTCGGGTTGTTGTCTCTTTGACACATTCCCCATTCATTCTAAATTTCTTATTTAATGCATAGATTGATTGTAAGGTGTACATGTCTGTCTGGCATCGATCATCTGACCTTGACCTCATTTTCATGATTCATAGGTCAGTGTTAGTTTTCCTGGTTAAGTTTTTTTCTTAGAATTTATAAGCAATAAGTCAACTGTATTTGGTGTATGGAATGATTGTAAGGTGTACATGTATTTCTGGTTTGGTTTTTTGAACCTTGACCTCATTTTCTTGAATCATTTTAATTTTTTTGTGATACTTGTAGTAAAGCTTAATATTTAAGACTATCAATATAACATCAATGGAGAATAAAGCAGACGAGACATTTCAGCGTGTGCACTCTTGTTATGAAATTGTACCATTAAGTTCTATACCTAAAAAAGAAGGTTGAGATGGATTTTTGGGATAATTACCCTAACTGTAAAGAAACAAAGGGGACAAAAACAATACTTTTCTAATACTCTATATAAGTTGCTAATTTATTGACCGATTTCAATGAGGCTAAATTCAAAGTCTTGAATACTTTTGGTTCTGTGGTATGCTGAATTTAACCGTGTATTTAAGATTTTGATTTTGGACCCGGTTTTTAAATTGGTCCAAAGATTCCATAATAAAACTGTGTTTGATTTCTTTTTTAATAAATTCTTCGGGTCCTTTAATAGACTGAATCTAAAGATGTGTTTAAATTTTTATTTTTGGCCCAGTTTGGTCCACATTGGGGTTCAAAATTAAACTTTTTTTTATTTCAACAAAAATTGAAAATGACATGAATAAGGGGTTCTTTGATATGCTGAGTCTAACCAAGTTATAAGGGTCCAAATCTAAATTTTGTTTGATTTCAATAAAAAAATGAATATATGGTATTCGTGGATATGCTGAATCTAACGGTGTATGTAGATTTTGAATTCTAGGCCCCGTTATCAAATTGGTCCACATTCAGGACCAAAAGGTCCAAAATTAATCTTTGTTTGATTTCATCAAAAAATTAAATTCTTTGGGTTCTTTGAAATGCTGTATCTAACCATTCATTTAGACTTTGCATATTTGACCATGATAGGTAAACATCCAATTTCAATTTTTGAAGTTCTCAGACCACATTCATTCTTTGTCAGAAACCTATGCTGTGTCAAATATTTAATACCAATCAAAATTCAGAGCTGTATCAATCTTGAATGTTGTGTCCATACTTGCCCAAACTGTTCATGGTTCGACCTGTGCGGTCTAATCAACCTGCACCCTGCGGAGGATTTTTTGTATGATTAAGAGATAATGTTTGAAGCAAAATTTTTAATATATAGTTCTTTAATTTTTAGTGTTTTTCTCATAGATGGACTCAGTGTTTTGTAGTTATCATTTACACACAGTCTGTGATTGAATTGTTTTGACATGTTAAATTTGAAAACCTTGATGTATTGTTATGAAACATGGACATAAGATTAATTTGACACAGAATTTGGCACAACCCTATGTGATTTTTTTGTGCGCAAATTTTCACATCCAACCCAGAAGTCACAACAAAAAGGGACCTGTGTTAGAGGTATTGAAATCTAAATTACTTGAAATTTCATACCTGTTTATATTTTTAAGGACGATTTTCATATTCAAATTGACCGACATTGACAATTTCATTCCGATCATATGAATTTCAAAGCAGACATGACTGGCAAATATGACCGTATTCATGTCTCATTATAATATATGTTAAGGTATTTTAAGTATAATCAGGTTTTTAAAACTATTTCTTAAATACGGCACATTTTACAGATTATTGCCATGGAATTTTTCAGTTTTTCTATGACATAAGAATTCAAAATGTCCCTTTTATATCTTCCAACTCTTTATACGACCGCAAATTTTTTTTTGCGTCGTATAATGCTATGATGTCGTCGTCGGCATGGTCCGAAGACACATTTGGTTTTCGGACAATAACTTTAGTTTAAGTAAATGGATCTCTTTGAAATTTTACCAGAAGGTTCAATACCACAAAAGAAAGGTTGGGATTGATTTTGGGGGTTATGGTACTAACAGTTTAGGAATTAGGTGCCAAAAAGGGCCAAAAACAAGCATTTTTGTAGTTTCCGGACAATAACTTGTGTGCAAGTGTATGGATCTCTCTGAAATTATACCACAATGTTCCATATCACAACGGGAAGGCTTGGATTCAGTTTGGGGGTAATTGCCCCAAACGTTCAGGAATTAGGGGCCAAAAAAGGACCAAAAACAAGCATTTTACTAGTTTCCAGACAATAACTTGTGTTTACGTGTATGGATCATTCTGAAATTGTGCTGCAAGGTACCATACCACAAAGGGAAGGCTGGGATTGAGTTTTGGGGTAATTACTCCGAGGGGGGTTCCAAATTTTTTTTTTGGGGGGGGGGATTTTTTTTTTTCATAATTTTGGGGGGTTTTTTTCATTAAAATTTTCCATTTTTACAATGATTATTTCTGATTTATATATAAAAGCAAAAATACTGATATGGCAGGAGAAACATACCAAACAGGATGTGTAAATTATTATATTAAGTATTGTGCAATAGCACAGTATTGCGCAATAGCACGAAATCTTCAATTGCATAGTATTGCGCAATAGCACAGTATTGCACAATATCACAGAATTGCGCAATAGCACAGTATTGCACAATATCACAGTATTGCGCAATAGCAATAAATCTTCAATTGAAAACAAAACCCGTTTCAAATTTTTAAGATCTTTCACCACATTTATTTTGTGTCAGAAACCTTTATTATGTCAAAAATTTGATCACAAATTCAGACAGTATCAAGCTTGAATATTGTGTCCAAACTTGCACCAACTGTTCAGGGTTCTACCTCTGCGGTCGTATCAGGCTGCGCTCGGCGAAGCATTTTATTTTTCATTGTAATAAATATTGTGTTAAATTTAGATATGGAAATAATTGGTAAAATGTATTTTTCAGGTTTATTTTACCAAAAGGATGAAAACTCAAAGTTATCAAAAATCAAGCCTGAGTATCAAATAATCTGTTCATTGGTTAAATGTCAAAACAAGAAGTTTTTTAATGAAAAAGAAGGTCTGCATTTGGCAGTAGTAAATAAAATGTCTATGCTCTGTCGATGGCTGTTGGCTAACTTTTCATATGACGATAACTGTTTGACTCAAGTGCTATCAAAATCCTTTGAAATTGGCTACAATGATGTAATTAAAGTTATTTCATGGAAGATAACCAGGGAATTTTACAAGAGATTCAAACAAAGCTTGATGGAGAAAATTGTGGACATATATCCAGCTTATCAATGCCACTGTCACTGTTTAACAGAGAGCCAACAATGTTTACCTGTTAGCAAGAAGCTTATAGTCATTGAATCCATTGCAGAAAATACAAATGGCATTCCAGATACTTTTTGTAATTTTGAAATATCAAAATTTAAATATAGTGAAATAAATGAATCGTCAAACATGCCACAGACCGAAATGAAAGACATACTGAAGAAGATGTCCGATCTCTATGCACCAAATTCTTACAGTATGTTCTTACAAGAAATTAATGGACATGTTGCATCCTCGATATTTCAGAAACATAGAAACCTTTCTTTAATTTGTCCATCCAAAATGAAATCATCAGGTTATGGTAAAAAACATTTAATTTTACCAACAAGGGCCTGTCTTCAACTATTTTGTCATAGGAAAGGAATAATACCTCTTGGTGAGAGCCATTTCCCAAAGAGTATTAGAGGCATAGCAACGGATATTTTGCAAGGAAGGGGACATTTTGCCTCCACAACATTACGAGTTGGAGACAAAATAGGAACAACAACTAGCTGTGGGACCTTAGGAGGCTTTTATCATTATTTTGGTCGTTATGAATGTTTTATAACATGTGCACATGTGCTACTTGGCCTTTCCAAATTAATTATTCCACTTGACGATATGTCTCATAATAACCCTGTAGATGTGATTTTCAATCAACAACAAGGTGATCAAATATGCGGAAACCTTATTCGACGAGTATTCAATCATGATGATCCCAACTCAACTAGTATTGACGCAGCATTAGTGGATATTAAATCCCCAGATTTTAAAATTGATGAAAATGATATTATTCGTGACAACAGTGGATCCGCTAGAAGGTGTGAATGCTCAGGTAAATGATTTATTTACTATTATAGTGAAATTATGATCAAGAAAAGTATAAACACTGACAGTTGCATTATTATATATGGTTGTTCATACCCAATGAAGCACTCCAGTACATCCTGAGGTGAAGCCCACGAGTATACAGGGGAACTGAAGGGTGTTATCTCCAAATCTACGGTTATGAACTGGATACAAACAATTGCAGTAGCTCCTTAGATACAATAAGTTTGCATAAATTCACGCCTCATAAGATAGAAACTGTAAACAGCAAAAATGTTCAGCCAGATAGGATATACAAAAAATAGAACTGAGAATGGAAATGGGGAATGTGTCAAAGAGACAACAACCCGACCAAAGACCCAAGGCCACCAATGGGTCTTCAACACAGAGAGAAAATCCCGCACCCAGAGGCAAACTTCAGCTGGCTCTTAAGGTTCATCAAAAGGAATTGAAAAATATGGCCGTGTTACACCACAAAATCTACTATGAGTACAGACAAACTGGTGCATCTAGGAAAGTTTTAAGGCACGGCAGGCATATATATATATAAAAGTTTTATGAAGTCTATGTTTCAGAAAATTAAAAACTTACCTGGATTTTGATGTGCATTTTTTTCCAGTCTGCAGAAGATAGCAAAATAAACAAACACATGAGTTTCATTTGATACGGTCCACTCAGTTACACAGTTTAAATTACCTATTGATTGTAGAAGTCTATTGTCCATCTATTTTCCATTTAGATCAATACTACTCACAACATTTATTATATGAGGGGAGCTTCTCAAACCTCTTTCCCAACTTAGATTATTTTGGCACTTTCTGCAGGAATGAAAAAAAATGAATACCAAAAATCCAGAAAACTTTATGATTTTCTGAAACATAAAATGTATTTCAAATTTAATTATCTAGTTCCTGCCATGCCTTAAAACTTTTCCAGGTGCACAGGTTTGTCTGTACTCGGAGTAAAATTTGTGGTGTAAATACGGCCATATTAGCCAAAAGGTTATGATGAACCTTAAACAATAATGTATACTAGTTCAGCGAAATGGTCCTCACACTTAACCCGAAAACATATAAATGAACTAACATAGACTAAATAAGTCAACATCTTCGACATTATTAATTGACCAGTTATGAGTTATTGCTTTTAGAAGATGATATTTACCTATTTTTTGCATTTTTGGTAGAAACTTAAACAGATAAAGAGAAACGATTCCAACCAACTCCTCAAAGGAGTTATTTCCCTTGAAAGATGATTTTTACCCATCTTTTTCAATTTTGTAGTCGACTAGGCATTAGCATTATTATGGCAATGACAAGATTTTTCATGTTCCCCGATTGTGACTTGTGTTAGAGGGAAGGTTAACATAAATGATATTTGCAAGTCATGTTGCAGAATAAAAAAACATCTGCCAAGAAAAGGACTTTCTGGTGATGTCTTATATGTGTCAGTATTTAATTTTTTTAATTTTTTTTTGTAGGATTAACAACACCATTTGTCAATAAAAATTACTGCGATCATAAATTTTTATGTGGCAGAGATGACAACGTTACCACAGTGACTCCTGGTGCATTTTCGGGCAAGATCTTAAATGATGTAAAACTAGAGCACTCAAGTGCAAAGGATGTGTATTTGAAGGATCTTGGGAATGCAGCGGCAAACACCAATGGTGCACACTTCCAACCACTTGTAATGGCAAGTCCAGCTCATATGCAATTACCTGTTGGTGCTCAAACTGATCGAAGAATTTTTACAATGTACAATCAGATGGTAATGAATATCCCTCTGAAAGAAGGAGATTCTGGAACCTGCGTCTATATTACAGGGAACACACCAAAAAACACTGGCTGTGTTGGTATGGCAAACTCATTCTGTTCTGGATCAGGATTGTCACTAGTTACGCCTATTGAGGAAATTATAAAAGCAATGAACAGATGAACACATCTATTGATTTAGTTTTGTAAGAAACGAATTATCACCGATAAGCATCAACGTTATATGTAAAAATCGATTTTTATAGATAGTATTGCTTATAGTTTTGCATTGATTTAACAAAAGATAACTGCTATTGATTTCAAATTTATTCTGTTGTGAAATTTTGTATTTCAAAAACCGTGAACATTTTTTTTCTTTCAATTTTTCAGAGATGCATTCAATGATTCGTGGACCTCAATAAACAATTTATGAAAATTAAGTTTTCAGCAAAAATAACAAGATAAACTTATTTTGATATTTAAAGGCAAATTTTATACTTAAATTTTGTTTTCATTTATTTTTGATTTTTATTAAGTTAAAATTCTTGAAGTTATTCTCAAAATACTCTCACATAGTTTACTTTAGAAAATAGATTTTAAGCTGTTATTAGTCCCCTACCGACGAAGTCAAAGGGGACGTTAGGTTTGCACTCCGTCCGTCTGTCTGTCTGTCTGTCTGTCCATCCGTCAGTCCGGCAAATCAGTTTTCCAAATTTATTTTTTTCGTGCTTGGAAATATTGATTTGATATTTAGTGTATTGTTATATCATGACATGTTACAGATAAAGTTTGAATTTTGTTCCGGTCTGATGGTTTTGTGCAGAGTTATGGTCCTTAAACTTAGAAAATTCACTCAAAACATCAATTTTCCGCACTTTTTTTCTTCGTGCTTGAATATATTGATTTGATAATTGGTATATAGTTTTATCATGACAAGTTACAGACCAAGTTCGAATTTTGTTCAGGTCTGATGATTTTGTGCAGATTTATGGTCCTTGGACTTAGAAAATTTACTTAAATCATCAGTTTTCAACACTTTTCTGTGTTAAGCTTGAAGATATTGATTTGATAATTGGTGTATAGTTTTATCATGACAAGTTACAGATCGAGTTCGAATTTTGTTCCGATCTGATGATTTTGTGCAGATTTATGGTCCTTGGACTTAGAAAATTTACTTAAATCATCAGTTTTCAACACTTTTTTCGTCATGCTTGTTTATTTAAAATTTGAAACATATTTTCTCTTTGTAAATAGATATAAGAAGATGTGGTATGAGTGCCAATGAGACAACTCTCCATCCAAGTCAAAATTTATAAAAGTAAACCATTATAGGTCACAGTACGGTCTTCAACACGGAGCATTGGCTCACACCGAACAGTAAGCTATAAAGGGCCCCAAAAATTACTAGTGTAAAACCATTCAAACGGGAAAACCAACGGTCTAATCTATATAAAAAACGAGAAACGAGAAACACTTATGAACCACATCAACAAATGACAACTACTGAACATCAGATTCCTGACTTAGGACAGGTGCAAACAAATGCAGCGGGTTTAAACGTTTTATTGATACCAAACCTTCACCCTTTTTCTGAAACAATAGTGTAACATCACAACATAGAAAGACACACTATAAGATATCAACTGAAATAGGTTAACTCAATCAAAGGACATATTAACACCATTGAACATACACTAAACAAATAAATTTGACCTAAACTAAGGGAAGAATAATAAAAGTAACATGTTATATCGGTATGAAATGTTTAACAATTAAAGAAAAACAATATGCTCGAACAAAAATATCAGCCATTTGCAATAACTTCAAACATAGGTAAATGAAAATAATTTTGTTGTTAGGTATACGTGTACAGTTCCAATAGAGAAAGGAAATATTTTTACAAAATAAATAATTTTGATGTTCATTGTACGAAGTGAAAATTTATAGTAATACCAAACACTTATCAAAGCTGGTATATAGACCAGATATAACCCTGAATAACATTAAATAACAAAAAAGCAATACAATTAGTATCAACAGGTCAAATAAACAAGAAAGTACGATTTGAGAGTACTCGCAGTTACTGACACTAGTTAAAAGCCAAAACAATTAATAATAAAAAATCATGCATCAGAGACTAAAATCAACTAAAACACATCCCAGGGATTTAGTAATTTAACGTCATGGACAGTCAAAGAAGACATGACTAGTGCAATGCAAAAAATAAATGTATCGACAGACAGTAGGATAGTTAGGAGTTTAACCTCTTTATATATCAAAACGAACGTGGGTGTGTCTTTATACATCCCGTTTGAAAAGAATACAAATTTAGTTATGTTTTAATTTGCTGATGACAAAATCGATATTAGTGCCAATGTAAACTATATTCAAAGATCTAATTACAACATTGGTAAGATAACCTTTACTAATAAGATTGTTTAAAAGTTCGATGAGTTTACACGGATCACATAGTGATTTCCGCGCTTTAAGTACAATATTACCGTAAAATTTAGGATGTGAAATACCGTTTTTAATCAGTTTTCTACAAGTACAGCCAAATTTACTAATCAAATCTTTGTATCTATGAAAGAACTTAACAAAAGTTTTACGTAATTTATGTTAACGAAATCCCTGACTTAATAATTTACCAGTGATGCATTGATTACGTTCGTTAAAATCTATGACATCACTACACACACGGGCATAACGAACGAGTTGGGATATATAAACTCCGTATGATGGAGCCAAAGGAACATCGCCGTCTAACAAAGGAAAATTAACGATAGGGAATGCAAAATCGTCTCTTTTGTCGTAAATTTTCGTATGGAGTTTTTCTTTAGAGATTGAAATGTCCAAATCCAGAAAAGGACAACTACTGCTGTATATGTTAGATTTAGTTAAAGTAAGTTCTATTGGGTAAATTTCGGTAGTATATTTAGAGAACTCTGGATTATTTAACGAAAAAATATCATCTAGATAACGGAAGGTATTGTTGAATGTATCAACCAAATGTAACAATGACGTGTCTTTACTGAGTTTGGTCATAAACTGAGATTCATAGCAATACAGGAATAAATCTGCTATTAAAGGGGCGCAGTTAGTGCCCATAGGAATACCCACTACTTGTCGATACACTTTATCGCCGAAACGTACATATATGTTGTCCAGGAGAAAATTTAAAGCTTCAATCATATCTTCACATTTCCAGTAAGTGTATCTAGCATACTTTCCTTTTTCGTTACAGAAAAAGGCTTTAAACGAGTTACAGCAAATAAATTTGTAATGAGATTTTTCAAAAGAACATTTAATTAAATATGAAAACTTTTTCTTGATAAGATTGTGTGGAAGTGTAGTATAGAGAGTAGAAAAATCATAACTGTCAACAGAATTAAAAGGACCATCAAAAGCATGAATTTTATCTAAAACCTCTAAAGAATTTTTAACACTCCAAAAATAATTAATACCATTATTTTCATAAGCTTTATTACAAAAGTTAATAACAAGTTCTTTGATAGTAGTAAGGGAGGTAGTAAGAATCACTGATAGATTGGTAGTAGAACACTTACTAGATGCGGAGATGAAACGGAATTAAAATGGTTTTTTGTGCAATTTAGGTAACCAGTACATAGTAGGGACTTTCAAATGTTGGGAAGAGGCTTTAAGCTGTGTAGTGGCAGTGATATGTTTGTTTACAATTTGACTCTCTGTGGAGCGTACGGACCTGAATGTAGATGAATTTGTAATTTTGTTTTGGAGAACTTCCGTGTAGTATATGCGTCACACCACCACTACATTATTTGCTGCTTTGTCTGCCGGTACGAACACAAACCGCTTTGCGAGTACTTGGAGTTTATTTTTTATTCTGGAAATGGGAATATCATGGACCCTATTACTAATTTCAGAATTGTTTTCAAAATGAGATATACGAATATTAACAGTATTCATAATTTTATTCAAATAACTGTCTAGAGATTTTGTATCAGATTTTTCACGTTTACACCAATTTTTACAGTAGACAGACAGAGCGTCTTTAATGATCTGACGACACTGTTTCTAATCTATTTTAGATAGAGGACGATATTTCGGTCCTTTCTTAAGAAAAGTTATGACCTCACAGTCTTCGACGATGTTGAGGTATCCTGTAAGGGCATGACCATAGGGAACATATCTAAAACTAGATGTTTCACAATCTCAAGTGGAAGGAACATTATTTTCTATATTGACGTCTGTTGTAACTGACGTATAATTAAAAATCAAACTTCTTCTGGGTTTTTTTATAAGAATACGAAATAATAGGTGGTTCTATATTATCAAAATATGGAGTTATTTGGCTTTGGATGGTAGAGTCATTGAATATACCAGATAAGTTAATAAAATCAATACCTCTATTTATATATTTTAATTTAAGAAAATGCCGTTTATGATTTTCAGGTTTATCGATACTAGGAAATAGCCTATGATGACAAAAGGCTGTAATAATACGGATATATTCATACATTGGGCTAAAAAAAGAAATTGTATCACACTCCAGAAAAATAGCATATAATTTATTTATTGGTATCTGACCCAGTTTGCATAATACTTGATGTCTGCCATTATTTTTTTATTATAGATAACAGATCAGCAAGTGTATAATTTATACGATGTTTAATACGTTGATTACGGTTTTTGCGTTTGCCATGAGACCTTTTACTTCTAAGTCGTTTATCGACAATATTAATGACATCGATTGAAGTTTTAGTTATGTTCCCCTGTCCTAATATTTTGTCATTAAGACCGAGAGGATAAGCTGTTTGAAATCTTTTTATCCAAAATAATTCGCGAACTTCACGTGATTTTTCAAATTGCTTGTGTGATTCTCCTGGTTGTTTCTGAACGGTTTCAAGTGGTTGGAATTTAATAAATTTTAGATTGTGATTATGCTTATCTAAATGTTGATATATCAAACTTTTGAATTTTTTAGGTCTACGAAAGCGGTAAAGGTGTTCTTGATTTCTTTTGTAATACGCTCGTCCCGTCTGTCCCACATATTGAATACCACACTTATGTTGGGTTACCACATATATAAGGTTTTGAGTTTTTCAGGTAATGTCACAGGAAAAGGAGAGCGAAAATGCTCTCCCGTTCACTGTTGACCGAACAGTATTTTGTGAAGTTAATCTAAAACAGGTTAGTCACTTTTTGGCATTGCAGGGGAAAATTTGTGGATATCCACGCTCATTTTTGTTAAACAATCTGGCTGTAGAGGCATTACAAATACGTTTGTTTAAGCACGTGGATATCCTAGAAGTTGTGTTGTTAATAATTTTCTTTCCATGGCG